AATTTTTACAGACCACTCAGAAATAATCCACAGATTCCCAGATGGCAGACTACAGGTTGAAAACCACTGATATACAGATATCATTTAGATAATCTTCCCCAGTTTTTAATATTCAGTTAAACTTGTTTCCAAATGGAAGTGTAAGACCAAGAAAGTCATGAGCACCTTCTTTACTTGAGATTTGTCATGTATATCTGGACTAAGTGGAAAATTATATAAAGCCCATAAACAAACGGAAATGAAAAATAATTTTAAAGCTGAAAATGTATATGTCTTAAAGGTTGTGCACGTATTGACATTACAGAAATGCAAGGAAAGACAGATGTAAAAAAGATAGCTGAGTTGTTTCAATTTCAAATAAGTTTAACTTAGGAAAGAACTTAAAATGCATGCTTCTAATTTTTTCCTCAATTTCTCATTATTTCCTATAGGACCATGGCACTAGTGAAGTATGGCATTTAATCCTTATAGTATAACCTCCATAAGTTAATATTTTATGTCTCCAAAATAGGTATTCCTTTGGCATGTTTATTTACTAAACCCAAACATATTTTCACTATATTTATTAAAAATAAATGAATCTGTGAGTCAGTTTGTGAAGAATTAATCTTTAAATTAGTTTTTTCTAAAGCTTAGATTTCAGTTCTCTAAAAACCTAGTGCTCCTTAACTGCTGTCAGAGTCCTCTCCTGTCTGTCTTCTGCTGTCTATCTTCTATCTCCTCTCAGAAAAAAGAGATATAATTCTATCCCTTCTCATTAAAACCAGTTATTCTTTTTTAAAATGTTACCTGGGCCTGGAAATGGCAATTCTGAATTTCAAATTCATATCAGATATGTGAGCAGAATTCTTTTCTTAAGTGTCTACACAACAAGTTACAGCATTAATAGTAAGTACTCTACAGTATAATAGCAACCTGGAGAAATGCCTAAATCTTTCACAAGTATTTTCTTTTTCCTTTACAGCTTTTACCTTCTCCCTCGCACCACAATCTAACATGGTGCTCAAGCATGGTGCCAGCTTTGAGCACAATAAGTATTCTCTCTGTGATACATGCACACAGCATTTTCAAATACACCACATACACATGGGCCTGAGCCTGTCTGGAAATGTGGTTCCAGTTCAAGGAATGTGCAGCCTGATTTCAGAAAAAAATACTGTTATCTAGCAAAGAATTTTAATCATATTCTTAAGCTTCATTCAAAACAATGAGAAAGATGTGTACAAGCGCTTAAGTCTCAGAATACTAGAGCATGTGCTCCACTGTTTAAAATAATTATGAAAAAAATTAATATTTTTTTATCCTATTTTTTTGTCCTTTCTATTCTATTAATTCTACTCATCAATTTTTCTTGTATCTCTTTTCTGCTGCAAATGCTTTAACAGACTGCAACCATAATGCTTATAAAACTCTTTGTCCTTCATTGTCAATTACATTTTTAGCTTCCTTCTGGTGATTTTACCTCATACATTCAGACTGGACTAGACTTGTTTTTCTCAGTCTTGCCCCTTGCAATTTTTGCCTCACTTTGCAGCTCTGCTCACTTACAGTGGTTTCTTTGTCTTTCCATCAATTGAGATGTAAAAAGGGTAATTTAGGAAGGTGGGAGGATATGGAGTGGGAAGTGAGGATGAGGAAATCTTCTTCAAGAAGTTTTGCCTGTTTTTTTTTTACCTTCTCATGCAGCCTTATATAAAAGCAGCCTCTCCTGGCCATGGCAGGCCAGACTACTTTCTCCCCAGCATATTATGGATGACCTTTCAACAAAACAGTAAAGTTGTTGCTTAATTTTAGCTGCACACATAAATTCTTAATCACAAGTTAAGGATAAGCATAAACTGACATGATCTGCCAAGCAAGGTTGAGCTTAACAATTGTTCTTAGTAATCATTCTTCATTGAATCATGGCCTAAAGGTTGGCCAGACCAGTCTTCCACCCTACTGGAAAGCATCCAAACCTTCTGGTACTGTGTATTATCTACCCGTGTCAACTAGTCTGATACCCATTTCTTGTTCACTAAGGAAGAGGCTAAGTTTCTGCCTTTGAGTCTGATCCCTGTGTGCCCCTGTCACTAAATCTTAGCTCAGCACAGCTGAACTGCAACTCTTTCAACAGCTGATCAAATGTGCATATCGTCAAAAGCAATGTAAGCTTCTGGTTTGAACCCACTTAATTATTTATTTTTAAATCGTGTATTTATTTTTAGAACAAAGGTGCTGGGCTATTCGAAATGTAATGTAGGAGCCTTTGAACCCTGTTAGCCTCCATTTTCCAGAAGAGTATAAAATAACAAGGCTACAGATGTGATATTCACCGAATTCCTAGTGAGTAACGTCGCTTTGGTGTAAAATCCTAAACTATTGTTAATAAAGGTAAGGGTTCAAAGTACCGTGGAGTTCCCCATAACCTCGAGACCCTGGGAGAAGGAGGGTAAGGTGGGCACTACCATCATTCATGTGGAAGTGGAGCTAAGACAATACTGGGTGCTAGTGGAAATTCTGCCAAGAGTAACAGTTAACATTATGCCTGCTATTATCATTACTTTTACAATTCACCGTGTTGACCGCAATGGATCA